AGTTCAATCGGTCCAGCAGAACTTGACTTTAAGTTTGAAATAGGTTTTCAAAATGGCGGCCGTGGCGGCCATATTGGATTTCTGATCGACCCGAAAAATAACAACACTTTGTCAGGACCATGAGGCAATCATTCCTACCAACTTTCAGTTCAATCGGCCCAGCAGAACTTGACTTTAAGTTTGAAATGTAAAATGTTAACGGACGACGGACGACACGACGGACGACGACGGACGAAAACGGATAGCAATAGGTCACTTGAGCTAAAGCTCAGGTGACCTAAAAAGGCAAAGTATTGCAATGCAATCCATATTCACTCACCGGTAAGAATTGCTATCTTTAACAAACAGTACACTTATGTCAGGGAGCATAGGTCACAGTGAGGTTATAGCGATCTACTTCACTCCTCCATCCGAAGATGTCCTTGTTCTTTAAATCAGGTTACTCAGGGTGAAATAGTATAGAATATATGCCCCGGACAAACATTTTTAAATGCAAAGGTCAAGTCATTGATCACAATGACCTAATTATGTACACTCTGACATAAGATGTCCTCGTACACCAAATCTAGATACTCCAGGTAAAAAAAATATAAAAGATATGCCCCGGACGAATATTTTCAAAAGTAAAGGTCAAAGGTCGTGATGTAGTGATGTAAGAATCAAACAAAAACAAAACAAAAGTTCATATAATTCAAAAAAGGCTTTTGGAATTTCTTGAGAGAAATTCATATCAGAAGTGACCAACATATATTATTGACATCATTTATGGTGGGTACATAATTGTCTGACACACGGTATATATCGCTGACAATTTTCAAAAAAAAAAGGATATAGTGGAGGAATGAATGACACGGGGGTAATGAAATAACAATTTCAGATAAAGCGACTTAGGACCTTTCCATCCATGAAGAGTGTTTGATTCTAGCATATCTGGATCTGAAGAAGAAGAATGTTGAAATTTCAGCCAATTTGCCCTCTTTAATTGGCCCCTCCCTATAGGCCCTAGGGAAGGGCCAGGTTCTTAATTTTTATACCATGAAAATTAGTGGTGTACAAATAATCGGAAACATTGATTAAATCGAGTTAGAAAAGGGTCCGATCCAATAATCGATTTTGCTGAAAGATCGATTATGTTCAATTGTATTGAAGAATTAAAATTACAAAAGACAGTTTGCATAAAGTTTGACCAAAATCCATGAAAGAATGAAGTTGCTTAGTGTTCAAATTGAATCAGTTGATGATTTTCTATATATACATGTAGCAACAGTGACCTTGAACCCTGAAACACAAGGATATCAGAGGTATACCCATATTTTACCTTTGTATAAAGTTTGACCAAAATCCGTGAAAGAATGAAGGGCCATCACACCATAACATTCTGGTCAGCGTTCTATGACCTTTGAGGAAAGGTTGGTAATCGCTGGTATAGTGCCAGAAGAGTGTTGTGTGAACACTGGTAATTGGCGGTGATCTGCGGAGAAGTTCTCATGGAGACCAGCGTTCTTCAAACGCTGGAGAACGTTCGTGGAACGTTGAACTATCGTCGCCGAATCTTGCACGCGTTCGGATTTTGTCAGTCAGTCGTTACCCTAGCGTTACTTGGTTGTTATTAATCGTTCACAATCTTTCCTTTGCAGTGAACAACTCACTGGCGACCTGTCAACGACCACTGAACGGACCCCTAGCGCATGCAGTGTCACACGCTCACCACGGTCGTCTAACGTTGACTTATCGTTCGTCGTGCGCCAGTGACACGTCAGCACACGCTTATAGTTTTCAGAGGTGTCTTACTTGGTCGCTGGTACACGCTCCTCATGCGTAAGTCACAAGCTAGTCATGCGTTAGTCACACACCAGATGTTTCCTACTCACTCTAGAACGGTCGAAAATTGAACGATTAAACATTCTTAGAATGTTCATAGAACGCTGACCAGAACGTTATGGTGTGACAGACCCTTCAGTGTTTAAATTTGAATCAGTTGATGATTTTCTATATATAGCAACAGTGACCTAGGGCTTGACCTTGGAACCCTGAAACACAACAATGTCCGAAGTTAACTCATACTTGACCTTTGCATAAAGTTTGACCAAAATCCATGAAGGAATGAAGTTGCTAAGTGTTTACATTGATCGGGACGGGACGGACATGGGCAACACTATATGCCCCCCCCACCCACCCCCCTCCAATTTATGGAGGGTTGTACTTTATAAAATTAATAAAGTTTTACTAAAATCTGTCAAAGAATGAAGTTGCTAAGTGTTTACATTGAATCCGGATGGGACGGGATGGGACGGGATGGGACGGGTGTTTACATTGAATCGGGACGGAACGGACATGGGCAACACTATATGCCCCCCCCCCCCCCCATTTTATGGGCGTCGGCATAAAAATAACTGAAGTGGTTACTATGATGGACAAAAGGCATTCACAATAGGTCAACACCAAGACTTTGAAAACAAAAAACAAATCCCTTTTCTAGCTTAAGTTCACAAATCATAAATGTAATACTCACTGCCTACCAAGATGTTTGAATGTCCTGTTGTTGTATGCAGTAAAGAACAAATTAACAAGTATTTATATATATTCATATGAAATGTACCAAGAAATGGGAAATGAGTTGTATATAATTAGTAGTTTATGTTTATATATGTTTGTAGTATTTTAACATAATTTCAAGTTGTACTTTTATTTCCACCAGGATTTGAACCTGGGTCTCCCACCAAAGAGTGGCGAGTGTGATGACCACTACACTATAGAAATATATATAGCACAACTAACCTTTCCTTTCAAGATTTATTTCCATTTTTGAAATGTTTTAACCTTTGCATTGATATTTACATTCTCCTTCTGCTTTTCTTATCACATTTGAAATTAATATACCGGTATTATCCAAGTTTATGCCAGGCTCAGAACTACAATTTGCAATGTGTAAAAATTAATTATGATTTTTTGTTTATTCCAAGGTATATACCAGTAAAATAAAAATAACCTTGATTTTCCATTAATATTAATTATGATTCTGCAATATTATTGTCAAAAATAAGATTGCACACACATACTGGTACATTCAGGTTATTCATGACAAGTTATCACAGTTAATTCTCCCCAGTTGAATCTCTACATTTCCTTAAATTCACATAATTATAAGAACCTTAATAATTCATACAATATGTTTCAATTTTAGATATCTCATATACCAGTATTTAGTTATCAAAATGGTAAACCTTATAAAAATTGAGGGTATAGGTTTTAGAATGTGTAAACACCAGATAAAAAGTGTTGTTGTTATTTACTGGTGTGTATAGGTTTATTACAAACCGAAAGTACTAATATCCTGAAACCGAGCTCTTGTGTGACTATGATACACCTATGTACCAAACTTTAGCTAGATATTTGAAAATTGACAGAGGTATGATAAATTGAACTTTTACGACTGGTGTTGAGGTACACGTGTGTNGTGACGACTGTTTTCTTGATGATAGAGTGACAGGCACATATTAAAATCAGTAGACCTTAAGAGTCAAATATAATACCTGTCTGTGAGAGGTCAATACTGGTAAAATTCGCTCAATNCAGATCGTGTAGCATCTTCAAACTACATATCTCTAAAATTTATCTAAAATGTAATCGACATCAGAAGATATGTTATTCATATTCATGACTATAATCCNTGATCAGTAAGCCTTTACCCTCCCGTGTTCTTATTCCCGGCGAAGTTGATCTGTTCCGGTCTTTTCAACCAATCAAAATGTAGCAAATTTTGAAGCCCCCGACTTTCAGACCACAATATTTTTATTGCTTAACCTGATTCGTCAAAAACATCGAAAACTTTAATTTTTAAGCCCGTTTTAATGAAGAAACATTTCAAACCATAACAAATACGTTTGCGAAATTTACGCAAATAAGTTACGATGTGAAACATATTTTCTATTCCCACAGAGATGTTTAAAACGGTGATTTTTTAACTTCTGATCTATTTATAACCAATCAGAGCGTCGCAAATTTTAAAGTCCGTTCTGCAAGATGTAAAGAAAAAAGATCGCATAGTATTGTAGTTTCGTTTTGTGTTACTATTTATTTGTAGATTTTTGCTTGAACTATATATATACCACGCATACGATACAAAAAGAGCTCGCTGCGCTCGCTATTATTTTTATCTGGAAATCTTTCCAGATGATAGCAGCAAGCGGCATAACTGAAGTGAAAGGTTGTGAAGCGTGACGTCATAAGAATTCGGCGTCAACAAATACACTACACATTCCCGCGCTTTTCTGATATAGCAATATTTATGTCGCGTGACGTGAAAAAAAATAGATTTTTTTTTTAGAAAATTTCATGGTTTTCCCGTTCAATATGAATATGATATTAATTAATTCAATTGTGGCAAAATGTTGTCCTATATTTAATTGACTTGTGGCAAAATATTGTGGCAAAACGTGTTATCGTAACAGTCTGGAGAAGTAATATTTATAATTCAACGGGAGGCTACGATTGACGCTTTAACCTAGAAGACGGTTGGTATTTTATCCAAAGGTACACTGTCAAAAGAAATATTGGTAAAAATCACTGCGATTTTGACAAAAAGTATTAATGATATTTTATGTTAATCATGTTATGCTCTCTCTCTCTCTCTCTCTCTCTCTCTCTCTCTCTCTCT